GGATAGATAACATGGTTGTTCTTCTATCTGCTGTTTCTATGCTGAAAGAAACTGTCAATGAGTCTTTGGTTGACCAGTATTGCATGTCTATATCTGTTTTCATGAGAAGCCACTTTGAAGATATCAATATGTAATACAACCACCATTGTTAATTCCCTACCACTTTGTTTGTAACTCTGTATTGTCTGTATTGTGCTTGCGATATGTTGTAAAATGTTGTATGTCTGTTAATGTTTCCCTCCTTTTATCCTTAAAATAAAATAAAAAAAAAAAAATCATTTCTTATTTTATTTTCTGCAGAGAAGAAGTAGGGTTTCTAGTGATGAGAGGTAATGTTGGAGAGGTAGTCAAGAGCCAAGTCATGGAGGACACTGTATGCATCCTAAAGATTTCCTTGTGAAATCTATGGGGAGCCACTGAAGGATTCTAAGCAAGAGTTTCATGATGCTATTTGTGTTTTCAAAGACTAGAGCAGGAAAGTGGGAAATAGCTGAGAGGGCAACAGAGAGATTAGAGGCTAGGAGACCAGTCTAGAAGCTAATGTAGTAACTTAGGTAAGAAATGATACAGGCTTGGATTGGAGCAGTGAGGATGGAAAAAAGTGGGTGAATTTGAACGTCATTTCAGAAGACAAAGGCATATGGTTTGACAGTGAGTTGGGAGTGGCAGTGAGGAAGGGAAAGAAGACAAGAATGACTCCAGATTTTCTAACTTCAGCAACGGAGTGTTGGAGTGGGCCCATTTGCTGCTGAGAAGACACATGTAGGATTTGGAAGGGAACTAGTTTGGTAAGGTTTGGTGGCTGAGTTTCGCATGAGACATGCTTATGTGGTGCCAGTTAAAAAAATACCAGCAAAAATATCTTGCAAGCAAGCAATTTCCAATATTGCCATGAAGCACAGTTGAGCTAGAGCTACAGATTTAATACTTATCAATATATAGGTTGTGGATGAAATTCTTGGAGTATTTGAAACCACCCTGGGAGAGGGCAACAGTAAGAAGAGGGATGAGGACAGAACTCTGAGGGGATCATAATCAAACATAGAAAAGAACTAGAAGAGAATGATATGAAATCCAAGGGAACAGAGAGTTTCAGGACATAAGGAAGTGTCTTATGCAGCAGAGATTTCAAGGAAATCTGAGAATTAAGTATCTATTGGATTTGGCAGGTTAGTAGTGCATAGTGTCAGCAGTGAGGACAGCCCGCAGAAAGCTCAGGAGTAAGTGGGCAATAAAGGCAAAAACCCTATGTGCATCTGGAGCAAAGAGCCAGCTACCCAAAAAGGTCAGGCGCAATATGAACTTTTCCTTGGAAAAGCAGACAGCAAGGACTTTGGTGTGTGTGGTAGTGATTGATTAGGGCAGAAGTATGTGTGTGTCTGTTGAGGGGGAGGGTACACAATGAGGAAGGAAAGATGTACAGAGCAATTGTTTAAATCAGGAGAAAATGGAAAAGCCTCTTGGCAGCCATGGCACTAGTCAGCTGATACTTGGAACACCAGCAGTTTGCAGGAGGGAGGAAAAAAGGCAGGAGTAGTGGTTAATGTATCTGGGTTCTGGAATTCATGAGAAACTGTGGCAGAGAAGCAGCAGGACACACGCATGAGATTAAAAAAAAAACAAAAAACGACTTGAGCTTAGATTCACATGAAATTCTAGCCTCACAAACCTTTAAGCTAGAATATTGTATCTCAAGCCAAAAGCTCTTGTCTAGTAGTGGCACATGGCTTTACTCTTTCCAAAGTATCACTGTGCACCCTTTCTCAGGGACTGTTACTGTCTGTACGCAACAAATAAAGAAACTGATGAGTGACTGGTCCAAGGTCACTAGGTCATTAGCTAATGAGCTTTTTACCAGAGGGGCGTAGCTTGGAGAAATCAGTTTGAGGTGGCTTCACCCACAAAGGGTTGGATTGCAGCTTGCGTGAGTGCTAGGTGTTGTGGAAAATGTCCAAGTCAGTTCATAAGGCTTTTGGCAAGGGAAAAGTACACACTGCCCCGCAAGTTGTGTGCTTGATGTCTTCCCAAGGCAGGAGGTGGGCCTGGCAAGGGCTGCAACATTGCTCAGCAGTGATCCAACCTTCTATTCCTCTCCCAGCTAAAGAGGAACGGCTTGAAATCCAAACAGTGCTTTCTACTCAGCTAAGGAAAACAGTCTCAAATTTTTATGACATCTGCACAAAAGGGGTGCAGAGGGGCTGTCCTGCAGCATCAGTAATGTGGGGCCAGTTTAAACAATCTTGTTTGGCTCTGAGAACGTAGAAGGGAAGGGAGGATGACTAAACAGGACCTGGTGGCACAGGTGTCATCAAGCGTTCATGTTTAGTTTGCCCCATGAGCACCGGCCTCCATATCTATTTGTAAAATAGGACACTGTTGCTCTTGGCTCATAAAATACAGCTAGGTGTGAATCAATAGCCCTGGCAAATAGTCTCAGAAATTTTAGACTTCAGAAATAATTTTTATGAATGTGTCTAAATCTGTATAGTCTGTGTCTTTTAAACACTGAGGAAAAATAATCCGTGGAGCGATATTCCAGTTTCTTCCACTCCCTACCTCTTCAGCCACTCAGTTGCTCTCAAAAGGGAAACCAGACTTGGGCTCCAGATGTTTGGAACCCAAAGGAGGGCTCCTCAAAGAGTCAATTTACTGCTTCCCATCTTCAAAAATAAAAAATTCAGGCTAGACTTCAACAATGAGTTCAGCATAACATGTTTGTCAAAGGGGATTGACGAAAGTTCAGATATATACGATTTTCTACTTTTAAAAGCTTCCCAACTTGACAAACAGAATAGAGCTTGTTCTCATTTCCCTGGCTGTTAAGTCTGATTAGTTATTTCCCACCCCATTCCCAGGAGCCATTAGGAAATATTCCTTTGTATCATACCTCAAATCTCATCTGTTTGCACTTGGGTTGTTGCAAGGATGAAGTCAGTAAGAATCAGCATATAGTACAATGGTTAGCGGTTATGTCCAAGAAATTTGCATGAGAAATATAAACTTCCAATGAATATGCAAAAAAGATGCTTAAACATCGTACAAATTCAGGGAAAGAGGATAATTTTCACTCAGTATGTTAGGAAAATAGGAAGTGTTGTTAAGGATATAGAAACATGGACACAAACAAAATGCTAATGAGTGTATGAGTTGGAAGATCCTTGGTGGAATAATTTGTTGGTAGCTTTGAAAAGTAAAAATGTCTATTTAATAGCTCTCATTTTCAGTATCTCAATATAGAGATAAGTACAAGGAAGCCTGTTCAAATACTTGCACTGTAGCATTGCCATTTTATAAAATAGTAAAAATTCAGAAACAACCAAAGTGCTCATCAGAAGGGAAATAGTTGAATTAAATTACGGGGTAGAAGAAATGATCTTACAGACAATGTATTAATTAAAAAAAGGGCCTATTTATGATTTTTTTAGAAAATAAATAGGAAAGTCAGAAACTTCAAGCTTTACAAATAGATTTCAGACTTCACAATAAAATCCTATAAAAAAAGACTTCAGGAAATAAAACCACTATATAAAGGTATTTCTGTATATATGTGTATGTATCTCTGATTACTCATAGAAAAAGACAAGAAACAACAATGGTACGGCGGAGCCTTTTGCTTTGGCATTACCACTCGTACATTTTTAAAGAATGCATCCAGAGGTTTACCATAGACTTACTTTTTTCTAGTGTTTCCTGGTTGTAGATCAGAGATGAAGGCATGGGCCTCGGTGACAGTGAACATAGTTTCCCAGGGATGCAGCAGTGGGTAAGTGTAATAAATAGGTAAGAAATCAAAACTCATAGGATTCAGGTAATAGCCAGAAATTTGTTATCAATTTATTCTGTGACCCCAGGAAGTCATTTTCCTTCTGAGTCTGTTTTCTTTATACATTCAGCAGATAAGATGAGAAGCTCTCTAAGATGTCTCCCCTTTCTGATATTTCATGATTCTTTAAGCTTATATCTTTAATATATAATGGGTCTGATTGTTTTTGATGAACAGATGGCTTTTTATTCTTTTTGTTCCAATTCTGTTATAGTTTGACATTTCACTTTACTGCAAATGGGAGATAATGAAAGAGAAGGCGGAGCGGTCACTCTGTTCTCTGCCTGGCTATGTTTTTGAAGGTTTAGTTGACCTATTTATGCGGCTACCTTCCTTTGACAGTGTAAAGTAGACATGTTTGAATGGGATGAGAGCACAAGTACTGGAAACTGGAAGATCTGAGTTACACCTGATGGCCATAAATTCTGGAAATATTAACTTTTCATAGCTAAACTGCCTTGAATATCTTTTCTAGGTTATACTAAAAATGCAGGTTTATTTAGTGAAAATCAGAGATACAACTCACCTGGGGACTATACAAATACAAGGATTGATGGAAATGTTATGTGAATGTACTATGTTCATTGCAATTTACTCAACAATTTAAACATTGCACAGGGATAATATATTCAATATGATACAGTGTTTTAACACATATCCTGTGTTTTTGTGCAGTACCTACAAGCCATTTTTATGTGTAGTTGTTGATATTCGTGGACTTTATGTATACCCTGTACTCTTGATTCTATTTCTAAAAAGCAGGGTAATTTCGGGTAAATCACATCCCAGTCTGTACATAATAATTTGACCACCTGTTTGTCAGAGTGGTTGGGAAAAATCAAGTAGATATAAATGAGCTATGAAAATTCATACATATCTACAGACATTATCACAATCTGGTTCTGCAAACCTAATTGGCTTTTGGAAGTATGCCAATGAAACTCTGGAGAGCTTTGGCATTAAGTCAATGAAGGAAACCTCTTCTTGGTCTCTCAGAGTGTGTTTGATCAGTCCAGTTCTGCCTATCAGTAGCGGGCAAAGCTCCTTCCAGCTGCTCCTCATCACTTTGCTTGTTTTGTGAGGTCATAAGAGCAAGTTCTAAGAAGTTTAATTGTAAAGAAAACAGATAATAGCCCTTGTAACTATTTGTCCTTCAATAGTGAAATAAGCAACTTACTCTAGCTCCCTTTTCAGGAGAGCATTTACAGCCTTGACTGCAGTCCTGGCCCCCACATGGCTTTCCATGAGACTCCTCTCCCTGTTAAAAGAAAAAAAGGAAAACATTAGATCATGCAAACCAAGAAACAACATTGCCCCAAGGTACCTTTAGTCACACCCCTCTTAACCAAGTAAATTTAAAGTGGACTAATGATTTCACCTGATGGTGTCACTATTCAAAAGTTGAAAACTCATCTTAAGATACCATCCTTGTAGATCAGGCATATGCCTTACTAAGTAGGCAGTTTGGTAGCTGGTTTGGGAACTATGATGTAGATACTGCCTTCCTGGTAGAAATCTCAGTGGCAAAATGCAAGAGAATTTCTTTGCATGATGTTGCTGTGAAAGCAGGTGTTCAGTAGCTCATGGATTCGCATTTGTGGAGAAAGCAATAGCTGTAGTAGAGAATCCGGGAGAAATTCAAATGCTGGAAATGTAACAGACGAAAATGGTCACTCTGTACTCTGCTCTCATCTCCTCAGGTTCCATTTCCAGCACACAATTCAAATCTTACAGTGACACCTCCACGCCCAATTGGTCAGATTCAAATTCCTCAAGTGCTATTGTAAATAGTCCCAAATTCTCCAACTTCATTTTCCCTCCCTGTGCTTTATAATGATGAAGATTACTAGCTGAATTTCCACAAGGACCCCACATGACCTGACGTTGCTCAGGCTCATCTCCTCACTCTCCCCTTGGCTTGCTCAGCTCAGCTTCAATCACCTGGGTGAGTGTTCATTCTATCATTTAGAAAAAATCAGGCCTATTCTTGCCATAAAACTTCTGCCCAGCTGTTATTTCTCCCTGGAATGTCCTTCTGTCAGGTTTTTGTTTGGTGCTTTTATTGCTGGCCTCTTTTCATCATCTGGGTCTTACTTTTATTCTCCATTTTTAGGCTATTCCTGATAACCCAGCCTAAGATATTTACTTCCAGTTATGTCCTTTGTTATGTTTTCCTCATTAGACATTTTGTCTTCTCCTGCTAGAATGCAATCTGTATTTAAGTAGCGACTCTATCTTGTCCAACATTATATCCCAAAGGCCTAAACAGTGGGTGACACCAAGTAATGTTTGATGATCTCAGAAATGGAGCTACAGTTTGAATCCAGGTCTGACTAACTCTAAAGTCTTGACCTTAAAACCTTTATATCTTAGTGTTTTTTAAGTCCTCTCTCTAGCACAGCCTTACTACAAGGACCCCAAAGTGGAGGGAACTACTATCCTGACCTTATCCACCTTGGGAATAAAAAAGACATAAATTCCAACTAATATCTGTAAGAAGAACGTTATCTCTGGGATGGATTTAGTATCATCCAATATTTTGTTTAATGTTTGCTATTTTTTTTTCAATAAGGAAGGCATATTTATAAGCTAGCCACACACTTAATCATTCTTTTCTCTGTGTACTGTGTGCCTTTTCTTAATTCCCAGGGAACACTGTGAATTTTTCAGATGGCCTCTTATCTCCTCAGACATTTCTATAATACTTTATCACCACAACACCTTGGTAATAAGGTAGTGATGGCAGAGCTATGACAAAATATTGCTATTTTAGATTCCAAACACCTTCCAGATATGAGATATTTTATCTCTCTTATATGCCTTTGACATGCTAAGTTCTACTGTACACTTTCTCGTTTGCCCTCCACTTTACAGTACATAGGACAGGCAAGTTTTTCATAAGGGTGAGATCAAGAGGTGCTCCGGGAGGAGAATGCTGCAGGCTGGCACGGAATAGACAACAGAGAGGCAACACTGAGTTTAGCTTTCACCTTTGCAGTCACTTTGTATAATATTTGGCTAATGGGATTATGGATCATTTGTATTTTCTTTGTACTTTTCTGTATTTTCTAAGAAGTCTTCTACAAGCATGTATAATTACTGAGAAGAAAAAATCCGTACATGTTATTAAATGATAAAAGGCATCCCCTTCAGGTGAGAGGACTCAACAGGTGTTGCCAAAATTAAACTAGCATCTATGTGAAACTATAGCCCACTTCCAAACAATGTCTGCTTGGGGATCCCCTAAAATTGGTATATAAAAAATAATAAGCAGGATTACAGGAAAGAAATTGGTACCATGGTCCAAAAATTTCCAGATGTTTAGCATGTAGCAAGGACGCTGGAGGTAAGGGTGCTGGATAAGACAGGGGTAAATTCCAATCACTGGAGCTGGACAAAAGCATAAGGAGCAGAAACTAAAGTTTCCTAGGAACTTTTCAGAACAAGGAGGCATGCCGCTTCCAGTTAACAGACAGGAAACTACCACTGTCCTCTGTTACTGAGGAAAGTAACCAGAGAAGCTCCATTGGCCACAGGCAATTTCCTGTAATGCCAGTCCTGGCAATTTCCCCAGGCGTCTTCAATTACACAGAGGTGGGAAGGGTGAAAGTGGTTTTAAGGTAACACTACCACACCAGGACCTACGGAAACCTATGCTCTAACCTGACTTCTCTGGGGACACTCTGACCCCTACTGGGCCAGGCCACTTCACAAGAGTCATCCCCACCTTAGAACATTCTCCCCTTCTTCTCAAAATCCATCCCTCCTTACACACATAGAAAGTTAAGCTGAGAAGGCCCCGGAAGATCATCTAATAAGTAGTTCTTAATTTTATCAAACCAGTTTATCATTTTTATAATAATAATTTTTTTTGCCATCCTGAAAAGAAAGTTATAGAAAGAAGCTACAATGAATATGCAAGCAATATTATGATCTAATTATAAACAAATTTTTGTTTTGAGGTCATATATCGTTTTTGTTGTTTTGTGTTGTTTTGATTTTGTCTTCATTTTTGCTTTGTTAGCTTTTTTTAATCTTTAAAATAAAAAAATTTAGAAAAGAAATATCTGTTGAAATACTCAATATTTCAAAGCACATCTATGGCTATATGAGAAGACTCAGTTGTCAAGTTTAGCGGTGCATGCTTGTAATCTTAGCTGCTCAAGAGGCTGGGGCAGGATAATCACACGTTCAAGCCCAGCCTGGGCAACTTAATGACGCAGTCTTCAAATAAAATGAGTCGGGATTTACCACAGTGCTACCTGGATTAAATACCTAGTACCACCAAAATAATACAAATAATGAAAAAAGATGCTATGAAGTAGTCAGAGACTGGCAGTTCTGCACATGAAATGACAGTGTGCTGGTGAAGAATGGATGCCACTGGGTTGTGATACTGGTGACTCGAGTGTAAGAAATGCAGCTACCATTAGTGCAATGAATCTCTGAATGACAAATAACTTATGAGAATGTTGTAGGGGTAATTTACAATTTTCCCCTTTTTTATTTGGTATATTTTATCAGGAACAATAAAACCAGGAAAAATTCATTGCAATATGTAGAAGTGGTTATATTTTGGACTGAGATAAAATTATAAAGAGTTTTCATGTCCAAGAATGTCTAGAGATCTTCTAAATGTAGCACAGGATGAAATACAATTCTTCACAGTATACAGAACTAACATTCAAAGCTTCCAATAAGTAAACATTTACCCTGCCAACCAAAACAACCAAATATGGTCTCATAATTTCTAAAATATCATGGGTTGGGGTATTTTCATTAAGAACCACTGGCCTAAACCAAAACATTGATTTTACAGATGAGAACACTGGCCTAGGGCACACCGATGGCACGTGGAGCAGAGCACTTCTGACACTAACGGCACGTTATTCCCATGATTCCACATGTCCCAAGTCCAATTTTAAGTTCAGTTTCTCCCATGACCACAAACTTCAGTGAAATGCTCTAGCTTCATTAAATATCATGCTCATTGGACAAGCACTGTTAGCTACTATTATTACATTAGCTATGTCAGATTACTCAGCATTCTGCATCACTTTGGTCTCTCTCTGGAGCTGATTATCCAGTGGTATGCACTGGTATTGCCATGCCAGTCAGCCTAGGGCTGATGTTTACTCTGCTTGGGCAGGATGTCCATTTGGATGTATCGGTGTCTGTTTGCTTGTTAAATATTTTTAATAGCATTTCTATCTCATACATCTATCCTTTTGCTGGCACTAGTTTTTGTGTAAATGCCTTCCTATCCCTTTTCCCATTTACCATAAACCAAACCCTTAAAGAGAAATGAGAGGACAAGGGAGTCAAGTGTACATGGAAAGAAGTAATTACAGGGATGGTCCATGGACTCTAGACTTCTTAAGAAGAGAAATGAGAAGAGGCAGTGACTCAGCGGGGTCGGCGGGGGGGAGCAAAAAAGGAAGAGGTTTATTGGATGATTCCTCCCAGTAGGGTTGAAGAAGTGGATGAGGCTTAGGGGTGTGACTGTGTCTCAGAAAAAAGAAGGGGTAGTATTGCAAAGACACGAGGAACTTAATACTCTACACAGTAAAAAACAAGATAATCCTTGGAATATAACAGATAATCCTGGAAGTAGGACAGCAAATGGTTATTGAAATGGTTGTTCAACTCTGGTTTCATACAATATAATAAAACAATTCTGTTTTAATAACTTTAAATTAGTTCAAAACACCCTTCACAGCAAAACTCATTGGATTTTCCACCACTAGTATGAAATTGATATTCATATATATATATATATATATATATATAGACATACACAATACTACAATGATTTATTTATATCTTTGCTTACCTCCTAAACATTAAACTCCTTTGAGATGAAGCCCTTGGTTGCTTCAACCATAAGACAAATCAATTTAAATCCTGTAAGCTTCAATTCTGCAAACTTTAAAATAGGGATAATATTGTACTTCTCATGATTTTGTGAGGTTAAATGAGATAATGCCCCAAGTAAAGTGCCTGATATACATACTATGCTGAATACACATTAGCTGGTATTATATATAACCACTGTATCTAAATACTGCACATGAAAATTGTTAATGGTCAATTTGCATTTAAACCCTAGGAAATGGAAGCTTAGCTGGTAAGTGACTTCCTCAACATAGGAAATCAAATATCAGAGTTAGGATAAGAAACCAGGTATCCTCATCCTTTGCCTCTTTTTCTCTTCTTTTCTGTAGGATTCTTTTCACTAGTTCCAGGAATTAGCCTGAA